TCTGCTGCTGCTGCTGCTGCTGCTGCAGCTGAAGCAACTAACCGTCAGCGGACAGGTCAACTAATGCAACACTTATACCAGCAGCAGCAGCAGCAGCAGCAGCAGCAGCAACAGCAGCAGCAGCAGCATTGCGCTGCTGTTGCTGCCCAGGAAACGCAACCAAGAGACAGCACCGCACAGGCCCCTCAGCAAGCAGCAGGCAACGCTCGATGAAGCAACAGCAACAGCAGCAGCAGCAGCAACAGCAGCAGCAGCAGCGCCTGCAGCGGCAGAAGTATCAGCACTATGTACACCACAAAAACAGAAGCAGGAGCAGCAGAAGGAGACAAACAAACAGACAAGGCGGAGCAGCAGCAGCAGCAGCAGCAGCAATAGCAGCAGCAATAGCAGCAGCAATAGCAGCAGCAGCAGCAGCAAGCTACAGCATGCTCACCTGCCCCACACACCAGCCAGGGACAAGGCGGATTGCTGTTGCTGCTGCTGTCTCCTCAGGCAGCAGCAAGACACGCAGAGACCCCTGCATGTCGAGCTGCTGCTGCAGCTGCTGCAGCAGCTTGCTGAGATGCTCCCAGTGCATGTTCTTACACTCCGCGTGAAAGTCAAACCTGAGCAGCACACAACGAAGCAGCAGCAGCAGCAGCAGCAGCAGCAGTAGCAGCAGCAACAGCAGCAGCAGCAGCAGTAGACACAGCAGCAGCAGCAGCAGCAGTAGACACAGCAGCAGCAGCAGCAGAGACACAGCAGCAGCAGCAGCAGTATACACATCAGCAGCAGCAGCATGCTTGGAGTTCGTGTCTCTCTATCTCGGAATAAACAATCCAGCAACAGCAGCAGCAGCAGCTGCTGCTGCTGCTATCGGTAACGCTGCTGCTGCTGCTGCTGCTGCTGCTGCTCACCAGGTGTAGTTGACATGCTCTATCGGCTGCAGCACCTGCTGCATCTTCTCCCCCAGAGTCTGCAGCACAACGCAGCCACAGCAGCAGCAGCGCGATCTGCCCAGCAGCAGCAGCAGCAGAAGCAGCAGCAGCAGCAGCAGCAGCAGCAGCTCGTACTGCTGAAAGGAGACAAACGGAGACACCCTCACCTTCTGCCATCCCTTCTTATCCACCAAGTTAACCACCTCCACATCTCCGTAGCGCCTGCAGCATCAGCAGCAG